ATGTTGTCTCTATGATTTTCTATTTTATGTTAAATTAATAGCAAGTACTTTCTTATTGTTTTAGTTGCAGTCTGAATTTTCAGCGTGTTTGGATCTGACTTATATATACTATCTCATATATTAGGCTGCAATTTGAATTTTTAGCAAGTCTTGATCTGAATTATACTAATCTGTATTTTTAGCACGTTATGATTTAGAATAATAATATCTCTTATAACATTCATTACCTCATATTCCAAGATTTTCTTACAATATTTTATTTAGATCACAAGCTCTTAATACTGATGAGGGACATCATAAAGCCTCAAGGGATGCTCCAAACTTCCAGTGAACCACTTTCTTTAGAGTCAAGACCCTGTTTGAATGGGAAGTAGTAAGCCAATAACAGTGAAAGTAAGCTCAATTGACTTCTTAGATATCTCAAATTTCTTATGCTAAACTGCGGTCTTTAATGTTGGGCCTCCAAACAATGTCACTACCTCTGAAATTTTTACTGCATATGTGCATTAGTAACTAAGATATAAGTTGATTTGTAGTAGTTGCTGCAGCTATCAGTCAAGCGATATTTGGAAGGCAATTACTACATTCTGTCAAAGATAATGGAATAGATACAACTATGACCTGTAGCTGAAATAAGAAACCTGCATTAGGAGAAATGAAAATTACCGCCAGGTTTTTTCTCCTAAGTGGTTGAAAACAAGGCGGAGCTCAGTGGAGGACATACTGGGCTCCGGCCCCTGCTTGCCTGCGACCAAACTGAAGGCCTAGCTGAGCCTGTGACCAAACTCTGCAGGGGCTAGCTATATCTCCCAGATATCAGCTTGATAGGATTAGTAGATACTAAAAGCCTGTCACACAAGGAGTTGCATACCGTACATGTTGGAGGCAATGAATCATACATAGTCTGTCACCATGCATGCCTACCTAGCCTTTTGTACTTAGTAGGAAATTACAGTTCTCAAGTGCAGACTCTTATAAAAAATACAGTAAGTGTGCAAGTAACCTGCAGTAAGTGAACCTTTTGTTTTTTTCTCAAGTAACCTGCAGTAAGTAACCTGCACACTTACTGCAGTAAAAAATGCATTAAGTGTGCAAGTGAACCTTTTGTTTTTCTTTGTTTTTCTCAAGTGCAAGTAACAGTTAGTTCTGAACTTCAATTTACATATGGTCATCTGTGGCTTCAATGAATCAGCATGGATTTTTTTTCCTTTTACTGTGATGTAGTAACTGAATATAGCTAGCCATTCAGTCATCGTGTGCATTGCTCTCCTGTGTATTGTACCATGTTAAGTGTCTTTCCCCAATCATCTCCTGTGTATTGTATCAAGTGTTGGTAATTGGTTTACTTGTATCAAGTTGAGTTCTCATTTTTTATGCAGGAGCTGAATGAGATGAAGGACGAGGCCACCATTGATCTTCTGCAAGCCGGAGCTTATAAGGCAAGGATCTTATTTCTTCCTCTTCTCTGCAAGCCCGAGCTTGTAAGCCCGAGCTCTGCAATATGGCCTGTTGTTCCAACGCTGGATGCCTGTCTCTTTTGCTAGTTAAAAAATTAAGCTTGTTTTTTCATGAGATGGTCTAGAGAAAAATTTAAGCTTTCCTCATAACAGCTCTAGGTTGTTAGCTTATGACAGCCCCTGACTTTTATTTTAGAGCATATATGAAGCTTCACTGTGAAATATTAGTGGCTCTGTGAAAAAGTCTCCTGCCGACTGTGGATCTGCATCTCAAATTTTATATTCACTCTAGAATCTCATATGAAGTGATACTTGGTGCTGCTATCTTTAATAAATGGACTGCATCACTGTGTGCGTGGTAGCTTTGTTTCTTTAAAATTTTAGCAAGAACAAGATTACATATGCATGCAAATATCTATGGCAACAGAAAGTGGCATCAGCCTTTAGGATCATTAAAATTTTGCTTGTGGGATTGTCGGCTTTTATATATAGTGTCATTTCAGCTCCTAGTATCTGTACTTTGTTTTTTGTGGGATGCTAATTTGAATTACCTTTGGACAAAGAATCATACATTCTGTAAATTGTTTGCAAGCCATCGCTTTCTGGTTTCCACTTGCCTAATTACATGGTTATTATATTTTTCAGGAAGTGTTGGGCACAAGAGTTTGTGGAAAATGGTTCTCCACACATAACCTGATGGAGTGTTGGTAAGCTATTGCTTTTGGTTTTTGAGTTCCTAGAAAAGATTGTGTGCACAAACCTTAGTATGTTTAACACAAAATACTAGTATTGCTTACTGGGAGTACATTCATGTAATCTTTTGGTGCCTGACTTTGTTGGATGGTTCAAACGGTGTGCAAGACAAGTAATATGTTATATAAGTATTGACCTCTATGATGTGTTGTATGTGTTTCTATATCTTTATGTGATAGACATTAAGCTTGAATGTGGGTTTGATATGTGCTAAATGTTTTTTCTAATTGTATTTATTTTTTTGTATATTTATATCGTCCTGTTGAACCATCTGTCGCTATAAATATATGGGCTATTGGATGGTCTGTCGGTATATGCTTGGTAATAGAGCATCTGTCGTTAAAAACTAGCAATTGACTATCTGTCGCTATAAATATTCAGGGCAGCAGACTGTCTGTCGCTAAAAGTACTATCTGACGCTAAAGATTTTTAGCGACATGACTTACACCGTCTGCAGAAGTCTATCGCTATAACTTTTTAGCGTTAGATTGTCTGTCGTTGTAGCCGCTTTTAGCGTCAGACCATCCATCGCTAATCTTGGTGTTGTGGTGTAGTGATTGCATAAGTTTTGACTAGGTTGTTTTATAGGCTATAGTTTAGAAATAGCTTTTAAGTTGCCTAATTTACCTCCCTATTAGACGTCACGATAGGATGTGGGCCCTATGAAACCTAAATCTATACACCTAAAAATCTCTATAGCTATCGTCTGCTCCCCTGCCTCTACCCCGCCCCACGAAAAAAAAAACACCCTGTGTTCCTTAATTTGACGTTGCGAACAGGGATTAGATTAGGAGTGGGTAAGAGAATAGAAAGAAATACGGGGTTCCAGATGTAAAGAAGCGAGAGAGAAAATGTGGGAGGGCCTTAATAGTTTTTGAAATAAATCGGGGTTCCTGATGTAAAATGTCCAGATCCGAGTGGGCTTTCTAGTGGGCTTTCTTTTTAACCTGGGCTGAATCCTTGTAGTTGGACCGGCTTTGTTGTGGGCTGGACCAAGCCCATGCAAGCCTTTTTTCTTTTCTTTTATTTTTCTCTTTTTCTATAAAAACAAAGATATTGCAAAATTCGCTAAAAATCATAGAAAAATCAGAAAAATGCCAAACTAATTTTGTTAGCTTCATAAAAATGTGATCTATCCATAGATGTTTTGAATCTTGTTAGGTTATGCTTTGTCTATAGGTGTGTTAAATCATCCTTGCATATGTTATATGAATATAGGTTCGGCGATGACCGAGAACATGCCAGAGGCAGACCCGGAATACGTGGAGGTGGCCGAGAAGTATGAGGAGGATGTCTTCATCATCAGTGTTCCCGAAGCCTTCACTAACTTTTCGATGTCTGATTCCTACCAAAGGAAGCCCCGGTGCATAACCACTACTTTTCAGTACTTTTTCTCCCGTTGCAACGCACGGGCATATTCTAAACTCTGCATGACCACATGCAAACATGCATGGAAAAAAAACCCCTAGAGTCCGGGTCGACTTCGTGAAATAGAAACGTCACCAATACACTTTACACCACTAACGTCAAGTACTATGGAAAAAAATAAACATACTTTACACCAATACGTAATACGCGAGGACTCTCCCGCCTTAGATTTCTTTAGTTTGGATTTAGACTTCCACCATTACCAGGTCTAATCCCAGGGTAATACCTTTTTCCATTGGGTTCAATTTCAATTGCTAATCAGCTTTTAAAAGAAATCAGCAAAGCGTATCATGTATATCATCTAAAATCATGCAGTGAGTTAATGGATACTGAGGAAGAGGATTCATTGCCTGATGAAATATAAATATAGGTCATAGGTGATAAAGATCATTAATTACAAAAGTATTAAAAAAAAGTAAAATCAATTTTGTTAGGCTTCTATAAACTGGATCTATATGATATAGGTGATAAAGATTATGAAACAGGCTTTATGTTTTTAATGTAATTAAATTCGTACATTTCTTAATTAATATGTTCGTATAAGTTGCAAGCCACGCTATGTGGGCTAAAATTTGTGGTCGTCGTGGAGCGCACGGGCATATATCTAGTATAAAATAATTAATTAAATGGAGCTTTGCTTTAAGATTACAATTTACTAAAAAGGTGCACCAGAGCAGTTCTGGATATATTTAGTGGAACGTAAGATAATTTAACAAAATAAAAACATCAGGTTTTCTTTGAGACAGAGCGAGTAAAAACAATTGTTGCACGCTGCAGCTAAATTCAGACGCGGAGGGATCCAAACCAGAAAATTTTCATGAAAAATGCAACAATCTGCGCCATGTTCGCTTGGGCTTGTTTGGCTGATAAGCCATGGCTGAAAGTACTGTTGGCTAATTTGGTGTTAGAGAAAAATATTATTTGTTAACTGAAAAAGTATGGTTTATAAGCCAAACAAGCCCAAACGAATATGGCGCTGGCCAGAAGCTTGAGCCGTACATTTGATAACCACTGCTGCAGGCTGCGCTTAAATTCAGACGCGAAAGGATCCGAAGTCCAATCGAGAAAAAATTCAAAGAAAAATGCAACAATCTGGCTAGAGGCTTGAGCCGTACATTCCAATGCACCGAGTTTACAAGGCACAACCATGAAGGCATCAATGTGCCAAAAGAAAAAACATGAAGGCATCGACAATCCTGCTCATACATAACGGACAATATCCAACAAGAACCATCTGCGTAATGGAGGAATATATATATAGACGACGCGCTCACCATACACTTGATTAACAAGCGCACAGACATCATGTTCAACACACGCTGACAGGCATTGGCGCATCGCCCGGCGCGTCTCGGCTATAGCCTACTGTCCCTTGGCCTTGCCGTGCGCCAGGGTCTCGGCGATGCCCTTTGTCAGGCAGTACGCGATGGACTGTATGGTGATCATGGGGTTGACGCCCACCGCCGTGGGCAGCAGGCTGCCGTCGCACACGTACAGCCCCTCGGCCTCCCAGCTCTCGCCGCGGCCATCCACGGCGCCGTCCTTCGGGCTGGACCCCATCCGGCAGCTGCCCATCTGGTGCGCCGAGCAATGGAGCGCCCACTTATCCGCAGTGGCGGAGCCAGAAATTATACTTAGGGGGGGCCGGCCAAAAGAGCTGACATGTAAAAACTAAGTGCAACTCAACTCGTTAGGTTCCTTGTGACGACTGTCGGGATTAATTCATTGACTTGAACGGGTGCTCGCAATTTCTTATATGTATCCTAGGATCTAAGGCGCTATTTTTTGAGTGGTAAGTGTCATGCCCATTATCAGCAAGACATCTAGGGTGACTTTGTAAATCTTTAGTACCGACTCGGTCTTTTTCATTACGATAATTTTATTATCTAGTTGTGTTTTGTATGATTATATTATCTAAAAGATATTAATATGTATATATAATAAAATTTTTATATAATCTCTCTTAATATAAATAAAAATATTAAGTCATACTACTAATTTTTTTTTTGTTGTGAAATGTTAGGGGGGGCCATGGCCCCTGCCAGCCCCCCCTTGGCTCCGCCACTGCTTATCCGGCCCAGGGCGCATGGGACCTTCCGCGACGGTCACCTCGTCAAGGAACGCCTCCAGCTCGTCATCTCGCACGCCGCCGTTGCACCGAAGCCGGAACCCGTCGCTGCGGTGGGTGCCGACCTCGGCCGCGCCCGCGGCCACCAGGATACGCAGCGCTCGGCGCAGGCCGTTGCGGAGCTCTTCGACGTCGGCCCGGTTCGGCGTGTAGCACACGCGGCCCTCGCCATCCACGGTCCCCGCGCCGCGGTCACGGACCAGCGCGAACGCGTGCGCGGTGCGCGCGTACCGGCGCATGCGTTCCTTCATGTCGCGTCCCGACTCCCATGGCATCAGTGAGGCGAAGCAACCTGGCCCTAGCGCCGGCGTCTCGATGATGGTGCGTTCGGTGACGCGGTGCATGCTGGTGATGATGCCGCCCTCGAAGCACTTGCCGGTAATAAGCTGCGGCTGCTGTTTGTTCTCCGGGAAGTAGCCCCACGCCATGAACACCGGATGCAGGTGCAGGTTGCGGCCGATGTGCCTGTTCTTGAGCCCGCTGTTGCGGAGGAGAGGCGGCGTCATGAGCGCGCCACACGCCGAGATGGAAACCTTGGCCTCTATGCGCAACTTCTTGGTGATGCCGTCGCTCATGCACGCCGCCACCAGGCCCACGCACTTCTTGCTCCGGCCGTTCTCGCCGCCGGGGTTGCTCTCGAGTACAAAACGCTCGGCCTTGCAGCCTGTCAGTATGACCGCGCCGCGCGCGACGGCGTCGACGAGCCACGTCGTGTCGGTGCCACGCTTCTCGCCGGTGGGGCAGCCCAGGTGGCAGCTACCGCAGAAGTGGCCCTCCGACGAGTTGCGCGCCACGGCGTCGCCACGTAGCCCGAGCGCCTTGCAGCCACGGCGCACAACCTTGTTCTGGAACCCCTCGTCCCGGCACCCGTCGGTCACCGCGAGCCGGGCGCACACCGCGTCCATCGCCTGCACGTAACCAGGGCTCGCGAACACGGGGAGGCTGTGCTCGCGCGCCCACTCCTGTCTGACCTCCTCCGGCGTGCGGATGCTTGCCGACCAGTTAATCGCCGAACCGCCGCCGACAGTCGTGCCCGTGAACAAGATGGTCGTCACGTTGGTCGTGCAGAAGATGCCTCCCTTCTCATAGAGCCGCTCCATGGACGGGCCCTCGACGGAGCTGTAGTCCTCGGCGGTGAAATAGTCCCCCTTCTCGATGACGACGACCTTGTGCCCCGCGGACGCGAGCACCGCTGCGGCCACACCGCCCCCGCAGCCTGAGCCGACGATGACGACGTCGCATTGCACCGTGTGGTACGCGCTAGCAGGCGCGTCCGGTTTCACCTCGAGCCCTTTGTCCATGAGTGACGTCCGTAGTGCAGTGTCGTCCAGCGCTTTGGTCTCCACGATGCCATTGTGCAGAGGCCGCGGCGACGGTGCTGCTTCCGTTTGATCTTCCCGTGTTTCTTCCACGTGTGGTACACTGTATCCTATTGCTTTCCAGCTTGGGTTGTCGTCGGAGTTCTCATTTATCTGCACGTTGGGAAAAGGATACGCATTTCACTATGAGTCTATGACTATTAGCGCGTGTACCTCAAATTCTCAAAAAGTGCTATAGTAGCCATCACATCGAATCTTGCGATACGTGCATGAAGCATTAAATGTAGACGAAAAAAAACTAATTGCACAGTTTGATTGAAAATTACGAGACGAACGTTTTGAGCCTAATTAGTCTATGATTGAACACTAATTGCCAAATAAAAACGAAAGTGCTACAGTAGCCAAATTCTAAATTTCCCTCCAACTAAACACGCGCTTAATCGAAAAATGTCACATCTTTAGTCAGGGTCATGTATATATAATATAAGGAGGTAACGTGACAACCAACATATTCCAATTTTACTTACAGCCATGTACCACCACATCCACATGTTACGGTTACAAATACTTGCTGTTCTAAGATTTTTCACACAGATTTATCTGACCATGTTTACGTAGTGGCTAGAAGCCTAGAACCTTAGGAGACATAGATATATTAATTAAATGTTTATGTTTAGAGCATCAACAAGAGTTCCCAAAACAATCACTCTCAATCTATGACCTTTGGCAAGATTAAAAAATATATATCTTTAACAACTCCCAACCCTACCTCCGAATCTTTTAACACTTGGAAAAAATGATCCCGTCATGCAGATAAATACGTGTGCATATCAATCGTGCCAATCTAGTGGAAGGATGTGGGAAAAATAAGAATTACGACAGCGTTCCTGATATAAATGTACAAGAGAGAAATAAAAGTATATAAAAGTGGGTGGAGTGATACAGAAATAGTTCGGGATCACTGATGTGAAATTACATTTTTATCTTTTAGGAGCGAGATTTTAGAAACTGTTGGAGGAAACCAACAAATATGCTCCCAATTTGTTTTAGTCACTTGGAAAACTCATTAGTTTACCAAGTGATTATTTTAGAAACTATTGGAGATGTTGTTAGTATCTATAACTAATCAAACTTACTCATGTATATATGCCTCTTTCCTTTGTCCATTTTCTAATGCAATACCGATATAATTATCTATCCAATTATGATAAAATTATCAGTTAGTCTAAATGTTTGTTCGGTTCAAGTCTGTAGTTTTCTTCCTCATGATACTTAATGTGCTTTATTAATATGTATATGGTTGAAACCTTAACTTAAACTATGATGGTCTTATTGTAGCCCATGTCTCGCGATGTTGTCAATCTAAGTTTTGACTCCCAGTTTTGATCTTATTAATTGCTACAAACTTTTATCCGCATGTTAAGGTGCAGATTTTGTGTTCTTTGTAATTAAAAATGCTTCTAGTAAAATTGAAGACTTATGTCCTAAGCATAACCTTTAACTACAATACAATGATGGCAAAAATGGTCATTTACATCTGAATGACGGAGCTCAAGATTGAAGGTGGTGCTTGAAGTGAATCTAGGATAGACTAATTAGTGCTAACCTCAAGAGAATTATTATATCAGCCTAGAAAACACTAGGCCAGTTTGGATTCTTGGAATTGAATTCATTCTAATAATTATAATTTAGACATAGATTAATTAAGCTAATATGGTTGTATATGAAATATATCTATGTATTATTGTTAGGCATTCAAGGGAGATACTTATATGTTGCATTTCTATTGTAGGAAAGCAAGTTGAAGAGCGTGCTATAAGTTGGAGAGTAGAAACATAGCATGGTGATCTATAGAATTAATTTTCATCTTTCACCCTATGAATTTGAGATAAGCTTATATGTGAACTTGAAAAAATTGTGGGATGTCAAATTCCAAGCAAATAGCCTAATCCATTAAGTAAATTCCAATTCCTCCAAAATGAAAGGATCCAAACGGCTCTAATAAGAAATTTAAAAAATCAAGAAGATTATGGACACACCTTAGTATGTACTAACTTCCTTCACTACTCGAGGTATCAAATTTCCTCTATCATAGAATTACATGTGTAGTAGTAGTTCTTTATTAAACAAACAGATTGGTTATAATTATACTATAACATAGATATGGTCACTAAATGATTAATCCGACCATCAACATATCAGTAAAGTGAAGGTATAATGAATACATAGTAGTATTTCATTTCTAAATAATGTGGTTCCACTTTGTTTTGGAGTTATATGTGTGCATGGGCAATTAAGAAATAAAACAAAAGAAGATCACCCGAAGCAATTGAAGTAATGGAGGAGCCTGGGGGTCACCCGACCTGGCCCTAGCCCCTCCACGTTACCAATCAGCGGGAGTGGCCAACAAACACAGTTTAGATCCATCCCACGCATTGGTTTGGTATTGGTTTTGATCCAAGAGCTGAGATGGATCTTCACTTGGATTGGAGGGCCTACCATGGCGTGTTTGTACCAGGCAAAGGTGGTTAATGACCTTGGGTACCAGTCAACCGCCACTAAGGAGCAACTAGGAGCGTAGGATTGAAGGCGATGGAAGATCAAGGGTAGGCTGACCCTATATGGGCTTGCCCAACCCCACTTGTTTGCTCCATTGACTCTCCTTCACCTACAAATACCCCCCTACTCCTATATATTATAAATGGGGTGTTGGCGCCATATTCTAAACAACAACCAAGAAGAAGTATTACCATTCTCTTTAGTAGCTTAGTCGTTAGGCTAGTTAGTGGGACTTAGAGTTGAGTTGAGCTATGCTCAGGATCTAGAATTAGTCTTCAAGAGTCTGGTATATTTGCTCTGTTCTTTAGAGAGCTTGTCTTTACTCTTTCTTCCTTCATGGAGCAAGGTAGTGTATGGCTGGTTTCGACTTGCCCACAAACTTACAAGAAAACCCTGAGGCATTACTGAGAAGGGTTTGATATTGACTCGTCCCTCCTCAACATACCCTCTCAACAATCGATCCAGCCTTTTTGTGGATGGCTTATCACCACTCAACTCTGTCATAGCTAACAATACCATCGAGTTCTCGGCTCCATCTGCTACCAACGTGTCCACTGGCCCAAATATCATCAATGGATATGTGAACTTCGAGCTCAAGCCAGCATTTATTACAATGGTACAAGCCAGTCCCTTCTATGGGAAATCTCACGAGGATGCCAATGCGCACCTACAACATGTTTACCATCAAAGGAGTCACTCAAGAGGCCATCCGGCTTCACCTCTTCCATTCTCACTGCTCGGTAAGGTGAAGCAGTGGTTCTACACAAACCATGAAGCCAAGAATATTTGGGAGAAGTGTTCCAATGCGTTCCTCATCAACTTCTTCCCAACAGGTAAGATAATGCCCTCCATAATAGAATATCGAGTTTCCAACAATAGGTCGATGAGTCCATCCTTGAGGCATAGGAACACCTACAAGAATACATTCTGGTGTGTCTTCATCATGGAATAATGGAGGACTAGCTCTTTATTCAGAACTTCTACCATGGGCTCACCAATATGGCCCCTGATCACATTGATGCTGGTGGTGGTGGAGCTTTAATTTCTTCGTGTTTGAATGTGAATGAAGCGAAGAATCTGATCGAGAAGATGGTGTTCAACCAAGGGTGAAGCGATGAACGGCTCCAATCTCACAAGCAAGGAATGCACATTGTCAATGTAACAACCCGGATTTTTGTGCAACCCAAAAATACAAACTTTTTAAAATTTTCTTGCAATGTGTGTAGCATATAGTCAATAGGTCAAACCTAGTCAAACTTTTCCCTTCCTAACCTAACTTCAAAAACCCCAATTTAAAAATCATTTTTGCAACAAAGCCAATTATCATGGTGTTGACCAAGTCAACAACATGACAAGAGGTACTTTCAAAACAAAATATTTCAAAGTCAAAGAAACATTAGATTCAGCATGTCAACTCTCACATGATTTTGACTTATATCTAAAATAAAAACCCTAACTCTATTTCCCCCCTCGCTTCAAAGAGACTTTGCAATATAACTTGATGCACTCATATAAATTAGTTGCATATTGGGTGCCTTGAGTTGGATCTTCTTTGGGAGTTACTGTTTGATTGTAGGGATTAAGTTAGCAAGTTGTGTGGACCTTTTCCCTTGGCAAGAAATAGAGAAATAGCAAAATAGGAAAATCCTTTCCCTTCCCAACAGTAGCCCTAGCAGGCCCAACCCCGCCTCCCCTCCTGGGCCACTCGACCTCCTTTCCCTCTAGCCCACTTGTGCCCCCACGCCCTGCCCTTTGGCCCAGCGCAAAGCCCCAACCCAGTAGGCCCATATCTCGGCCTAGCTCGCCCTGCCCTTTCCCTGGCCCATCCCACGCTAAAGGCCCAAGCCGCGGCCGCACCTGCACCCAAACCCTAGAGTCGCATGGAGATGCTCCCAGGAGCCGCCACCGCCTGTTGTCCCAACCCTGCCTCGGCGTCCATACACTGCAACCAGGATCCGTCGACGCGTGTCCCGGCCATCACATCAGACGGCACGGATGCCGAGACGTCCGCCCGAACCTTAGCCTGGCACCCTATAAAACGGCGCTACAGCCGCCTGGACTCTCGGACTCCCTGCAGCCGCCGCCTTCCCCTTCCCTCTCCCTGCACAACTTGCTATACTATGTAGCCACGCTGGGCCACCGCCGCATGCCATGGCCCCGCCACTACTGGCCGCACGCTCGCCACGGCCGCTACCTCGAGCCCGTGTCCCCAACCACAGATGCCGATCCCCTTTGTGCCACCTCTACCTCACCATTTCCGTGCCTCCACCACCTCACCGTGCCTTGTCCTCGTCGGGCGCCAGGCCACCGAGCTGGAACTCCATCGACTGCCATGGACGCGACCTCGAGACGACGGCTCCTGCGCTGCTCTGTTTCTCCCCCATAGCACGACGTCGCGACGTAGGAGCCCCGCCTCGCCGTCAGGGTGGACCTCGTCAGCGACGCGCCGACACCCCTACTTCAACCCGACCACACTGATGCCCTCTACTTCGAGCTTAACCGCGAGCACGATGTCGAGCTGTACCACGAGCCTTCGACGACCGCACCACAACGTGCTCGGTGGAGCACAGCAGCCCCACCGTCCATGACCATGA